TTACCAATTATCTCACCAAGCCATCCGGATCACATGTATACCAGCAAAATTATTAGTACAAAATCAATTTCAAGTGCATTAATATAAAATATTTTTATTTAGTTTTGTCTCAAGCTGATTGATTTCACACAAAATAAGCTTGATGTTTTTAATAATAATTAAATCTTTGCTAGCAAATGACCTTTTGGGGTTATTACAATTTTCATAGTCTAAAGAGTTTTTTGTTAATAAATTAATAAAATTTGTATAAAATTATAAATAAAAAATATATTTATTAAATTAAACCTATATGCAAATAAGAATTTTGAATAAAAAAAAAAATTAATAAATTAATTTAATTATTGTGTTTGTTGTCTATATTATAAGTAGGAATAAATTAGTTTAGCCTAATAGGTTGTTCTACATGATTAGCAAAATTATATGTTATTGTTTTTATATACAATATTGTACTTTAATAAATATATTCTCTGTATAGAAGTAAGCCAAATCTCTTACAAATTATATAAAAAAAGATTGAAAGGAAGATAGTAGTTGCAAAAACTATAGTAGTTAAAGAGAGTATAAATATTTGACTCAGTTCAAGTACTATAGTGAGGTTTTTCTTTATTATTTTTTTTAACTTTTCTTTTTTTATTACTTTAGAATATATAATATATTTCTCTAAAAATCTTAATAGTTACTCTTTATTAAAGCTAAGTTTTATGCTTTTACTACTTGTATCTACTTATAAATTAGTACTAAACTCTAGTTTGAACAAACTTTATACTATTTTTTCTATTAATATTGCTATATATTCTTTAAAATATTGGCTTTATTTTTTTTTAACTTAGGTGACCTTACCCTTGGTTTATTAGTGGAAGATTTATAAAGAAATCATAATACAAAAGTAAGAAAAAACAAATGTTCTAAACTACTAAAGTATCCCACCCTTGCAACCTCGGATTCACTCGGCTTGCCTTGCGCTGCTCAGATGCGATCTACTGCAAAAAGTATTTATCTCCCTAAAAGGTGTCCTACCTAAGTAGGGTGGTTCCTTCAGATCAATAATAGGTTCTTTTACGCCTTATCAAGATCCTAGATTGCTTCTAATCTAATCGAAACTAAATTACAAACTATTAATACCTAGTCCAAGTTAAAAATAAAAATTGTTGCATATAATAAAACATAGCTAATTATATGAACTAAGCTTATAAGGAAAAAATCTGCTACCAGATTAAAAAACCCTTACAAGTGAAAAAGTAAAGAAAAAAGAAAAGAAAACAAACACTTTAATTAACATAAAGAAAAAAAGAGTTGACAAAATATAAAAATATTATGCTATGCAAAAACAAGAATACATATCTCTGGCAATAAACTCCTCTGGAAGTTAAATCCTAATTGGATCATCCACGTGATGGTGATATATGTGTTTGTTGTCTTGTCTAAGTTGCATATCAACAGATAACTTGCCAAATTAGGAAGTAGTATAAACTTGCAGATCCTTTGTTAGGGGTTCACCAAATCCTCCATTTTTTTATTTTTTTGGTATAGAGAAATCCAAAGGTCCAGAGGAAAATGGTAGTAGTACCAAAAAATTTAAAGAAAGTATATATTTTTCAAAATCTACTATTTACTTGTATTCACCTAAAGTGTAATCGGTACTTATTTTCTGTAGGTGAGTGATAAACTCTAAGCTTGTCAGCAAGTAGCGTATGAGAACTACTTCTAAATGACAAGTGCTGCTATGATATTGCAGTGAGTGATAAACTCTAAACCTGTTAGCAGATAGCGTATAAGAACTATCTCTAAATAACAGGTGCTGTCTTATGCTTCCCTGCGTTATTGCTCTTATGTTTCTACAGAGTTTATTATATATTTTTTTAAAAAAATAAGTTGGGAATTTTTGGTATGAGGGATCGTCAGAAAGAGTGTGTTCAGCTGGAATTATAATTTTAGCAAATTGGTTAGATAATCAAATAATTTTAGTCAATTTTAGATCACTAACTCAGAGCATGAGTTCTAACGGTCAAATAATCGAGGTCGAAAGAGTGAAACATGGCACAATATTGAGTGATGTTTTTTAAATATCAGAGATTTTCATCTGGGCTCCCATCTACAAGAAGGACCCAGATAGGTCTGATTTTATTATCAACCTTTAACATATTGTCGAAACGGCCATTGTTCACTAACGAATATAGATCATTCATATGAGTTATCGAGCTTATTCCTATCTCATATTGTGAATGGATATATATTGACAATTAGCCGCTACAAAGCATATTATTTGTGTCACTTGGATCGATGATTAAATAAATAGATGGAACAAGTTTCTGTTGTAAACCAACAGAAAAGTCATGGTTAGGAATGATAACTGGCTCATTGATGCTTTGTATGGTCTGGAAACTTCTGCTGACTGCAGGAATACTAAGAGAAACTTTGGCTTTATCATCTTGTGATATAATTACTGAAAAGGTTAGAAATAAGGATGCAAACTGTCTAACTGCCTTTACAGAGGCAAGACAATAATAGCTATCTTGATGCTCTGCTCTTTCATTTCTTAAGACAATTACGACCTGAATTAGTATTGTTAACAGGTAGAAATAGACAAGGTATGAACATATTACTAAAAAGTTTATTATTTTTTTAAATAAAAATATTTTTATATAATTTTTAAACTATATAGAGTATGAATATTCATAGATGAACATATATAAACCAGAAAAATAATAAATATCAAATAGAGATTAGATTTGAATTTGAAAAATTCTATATTTAATATATAAATTCGAATTTCAAATTCGAATTTATATATGAAATGTATTGTATTTTTACGAAATAATAGGCATAGGTATTATTTTGAAAATTGGATCCTTTTAAAATAGTATACTTTAATTTCGAAATAACTTCCATATGCGTCTAGTATGTACTAGCAAATTTGATTTATGTATTAGCATTCAAAAATTGATCTTTTGTTTCCTTTGTTTTAAAATAACGCATATAGGCATACTTGAAATAACACATAGATAGGTGTTATTTTGTGAAAATACTGTAGAAAATTATATATTACTTACCTGAACATTAGTCAGATGATGGTGTACTTTTGCTGCTATTAAGTTTGAATGACGTGGCAGCAGGTAATTGTTTACAGTATTTCGAGAGAGATGTTCATCATATTTTGACTCTAGTACTTCTTTTAAGTGATTTACTGTACGAACCTTAATGACTTCTTTTCTTCTTTAGCTATCAGCAGCCCCGAACTCAATACTTTCGTGAATGTGCTCTAATAAGTCCAGATATTTGTGCAGGAGGGGAGGGCGTTCAGGCGAGTCATACTTTATAACTTGTTGATGCTCCTTTAAATTTTGATCTTTTCTTTCTCTATAATTGCACTGGTAATCTGTATTTTTTTTTAGGCTTTGGATTTTTTTATCCTCAGTTTGGAGAACTTGCTTAAGGTTTTGTATATGATCTATTAGCTCACATTTGGCTTCCGAATTGGTAATTGAATTATAGTCCTCTT